GGCGAGGGGACCCTTCCCCCCCCCCCCCCCATTGCAGCTGCTGGCGGCTGCGGCCATAACTATTTAAAGAGCCCCTAACAAGAGCTGGAGGAGCCAGAATGACCTCTGGTGTGTGATGTCCTACTGTCGTCGGGATATGGAAGCCCAAATAATTAATGCTGGCAGTTCTGGAGTCTGTTCTCCACGCTTCCTTGACCTCTTCCCCCCCCTCCCCCCAAAGCCTCTATGGCTTTGTACATCTCTAATCTAACAATTCCACTTTATCGGTGGGTTTTTATGCTAGCGAGATTTAATCTCTTTCCTTCGGGTGTTGTTTCAGGCAGATATAGGGGTATCCCCTATAGGGATAGAACCTGCAGTTGTCTCTATAGTGAACGTGATTCAGTTGCTCATATCCTTCTGCGCTGTTCCCAATACTCTACCATGCGCAGCTATTTGATCAGTCCCCACTTACCTTCCACAAGGAATTCGACTGACAATGATCTTAAAATTCTATTGTTTGATAAGTTCTCAGCAATTACCCTGTCTGTTGCTGAATTCTTAGCTTATGTTTGGAAGCTAAGGGTAAGGGCGCATAAGTCTTAATCCCCCTTGTGCTCATTTGGATTGTTATATTTTTTAAACTGAGTTCACTATTCTTGAGAAGCTTAAAAATGATCCCCTGTTGGTGTAACTTGATGTAACTTGTTATGATCTATTAATTTGTTCTATTAATTTATTTGTTCCATTGCCTTCCTTATTGTTCTTGTGTTATGCCAATAAAGGTCTATGTATATGTATGACTCCGTGGTCTCTCATTCTAGTCCATGCACACTCCTCCTTCACCCTGGGGCTGTCATTCCACTCCGTGGTCTCTCATTCCATTCCCAAAACCCTCCTGCTACGCCCTGGGGCTGTCATTCCATTCTGAGGCCCATCATTCGAGTCCCTGAACACTCCTGCTACACCCTGGGGTGTCATTCCACTCTGGGGCCTCTCATTCCAGTCACAAAACATTCCTGCTACACCCTGGGGCTTTCATTCCACTCTGGGACCTGTCATCCCAGTTCCAGAACACTCCTGCTACACCCTGGGACTCTAATTCCACTCTATGGTCTCTCACCGCAGTCCCAGAACACTCCTGCTCCACCCTGGGGCTATGATTCCACTCTGTGGCCTGTCATCCCAGGCCCTGAACACTCCTGCTCCACCCTGGGGCTTTCATTCCACTCCGGGACCTGTCATTCCAGTCCCTGAACACTCCTGCTCCACCCTGGGGCTGTCATTCCACTCCGTGGTCTCTCATTCCAGTCTCTGAACACTCCTGCTATACCCTGGGGCTGTCATTCCACTCTGTGGTCTCCTGTTTGTCATAGAACATGCCTGTTACAACCTGGGGCTGTCATTCCACTCCGTGGCCTGTCATCCCAGTCCCAGAACACTCCTGCTACACCCTACGGCTGTCATTCCACTCCGTGGCGTGTCACCCCAGTCCCAGAACACTCCTGCTCCACCCTGGGGCTGTCATTCCACTGTGTGGTCTCTTATTCCAGTCCAAGAACACTTCTGTTACTCCCAGGGGCTGTCATTCCACTGCATGGTCTCTCATTCCATCCCCAGAGTAGTGTATTTGGGCCTTGAGACCCTAATGGAAAATCCATTCCACATTTTTATTGCAACTCTACTTGTACTATAATGTATTTCAATGGAGCCCATGCAAGTCAATTGGTATTCCTGGCTCCCATTTTTTCCATTGGGCAATCCTGTCCTTCGTTTTAGTACATCCCTTCCATGTGTTAATCACTCTTTGGGTGAAGTACTTCTTTTTATCCGTTCTAAACCAACTGCTCAGCAATTTCATTGTATTCTTGTATTGTGAGAAAGGGAGAAAATACTTCTCTACCTGCTCTACCCATGCATAATCTTGTAAACCTTGATCATGTCATCCCCCCAGTCGTTAGAAGTTTCCTAACTTGTGGAATATATTTTATCTGAGCTTCTAGGATTGTAGTTTTAAATAGTCTCCAAGCTTCCCCAATGGTTTTGACCCTTTCTACTTTTCCTTTCAGTTTCCTCCTCACATGTCCCCTTCATTTCAGAGAAGTTACCCCCTTTAAAGTTAAAAGTGGTTGTGTTGGGGTTTTTTGGGCAACTCCCTATTTATACAAAAGTTGAACTCAATAACATTATGGTCACTGTTCCCAAGCAGTGCAATCACTTTTACATCTCTCACCAGACTCAACAAGTGAAGCTTTCTCCATTCCTGCAGTAACACACAAGAAAAAGTGTCCACCTTTCAGTATTATTACAAAGTTGTTAAAGTGACAGCTCTTATACACGTCGGTCCTACCCACCAGCAAGTGGGGGAAATGAATACATTTTACCAGGACCCTCAGAGTACTGTGGGTTCACAGCACGATATTCTCTAAGTCATTTCAAAAACATTTTTTCCATTATTCACAAGATCAAGTAGAGGGAAGGCTGTTAAAAATCACACTTCAGCCTTGATCGTTTATGTAGCCCTTCTGTTTTTAATTTTTAGTCTACCCTCTTACTTACATAGGTATCGCTTTATTGCCGAGACTGACAGAAGATCCCACAAATGGCTTCACACTTGGGGATTTGAATCTGGCTCTCCCAGGGCCTAGCATGAAACTCCAGCCACTATTTCACACTGATCCTGCAGCCTTGCCTTACCTTCTGCCCTGTTTTTGAAATGATAAAGAATAGGCTTCAAAGATAACTTCAGGTATTCAAAGAAGGTGTCTTCGGTCATGCCTGGTCTATACATCAGTAGAGCATGCTACCAGAAAATATGTGGATTGCAAAAGTTCTTAAGGAGAAACCATGAAAGCTTGTATAGAATTGGAGCTATGGTAGCAGTGCATGAACTCTTCTCTTAGTGCTCATGGAATGACACTCTCAGCCGTTTTAATTCCGCTCACAATAGTCTGGAACCAAACCATGCAGGAATAATCACTCAAAATGTACCCATAAACCTACTCACCTGGCTGGAAATAATATTACTTATTTTTATTGGTCTTGTATCCCATCCTCCCCGCAAGCAGGCTCATAATATTATATTATAATATCATGGTTCCATTTTAGTAAAAATTGCACTTGCTTTCAATTACAGCCTTTAAAGAAATGATAGATTGGTTTTAAATTTCAAAATATTTATAACCAGATGAATTCTAGTTTCACAAAAGAAAAGAATGCTTCACATTGTAGCCTGTCAGACCCCCAGTTCAGTTACACTCAACAACTCTCTTTAGGCAGTGAAAGTTTATTGAGTTGTATGCAAGATCCAGAAAGTCACTTGAGTTAGAACTGAAGACTTTTGGCGGGTACAAACATATTAGAGCATCCCTGACAAGTGTTTGTCTAGCCACTGCTTAAAGACTGCCAATGAGGGGGAGCTCACCACCTCCCCCTCATTGAACAACTCTTACTGTAAAAAAAGTACTCTTTTACTGCAAAAATGAGACAACTTCCAGAGAATTTTAAGAGCAAGATAAAAGATCTGGCAGAACATGGGAGACTAAACTGTGTGAACTAGGAAGAGGACCCATACAGTACAGTCCTGAGAACAGTTTCCTAAGAGTAAACCCGCCTACATTGTTCCTTTTGCATTTTTCCCATGTTCGCAGCCACAACATGATGCAATTCCTATCCCAGTCAATCAGCAACATTGTCGTGACTGTGATGAGTGTCATAAAAGCAATCACAGAGGTGTTTGCTGTCTTGTCAGTCAGTCAGTCAACCTTTATTGGCATGGATAAAATACAGCATGGATCACATTTTAAAATGCATGTCAAAAATATATAAATATAAAAGTCAACCCACCAGAGCTTTGACCTTCTATTCTCTTACCCTCATAGCGATAGAAATCGCACTACTGAGAAAGTAATGTGAGGACGATCTGATGAAAAGAAAGATATACGTCTCTCTTCAGATAGACTATGCTTATTGTGCAGGAGGGGGCTGATTAGAACATCCCGAATCCTACTATAAAATTCACAGCTAAGCAAGACGTGAGCAATCGATTCTGGGTTCCTACTGTTACATGGTCAGGTCCTTTCAAGGGAGGGGGTATTGGCAAATCTACTATAAAGGACCTCTGATGGTAGGGCATCAAAGCGTGCTACCATAAAAGCTCATCTTAGTGATGGAGTGGTGAGCTGTAAAAAACAATCAGCTATAAGCCCATTTCTCAAAGTTATGTTAAACTTCAGAGGGGAAGGGTACCATTAGTAACTATCTGTCCAGAACAGAGTTTGTTTTTCAATATCAAACATTCTCTGCCTCAAGGACCTAAAAACTTGAGATTCACCTGACAGAAGCAGGGAGTCAAGGGAAATGCCAATTTATTGTGTTTTTTTCAAAACTGAGTTTGTCCAGTTGGACATAAATGTGTCAGACAGCAGGAGGTGAACATAGCTATTAGATTTTGTTCTGAAGTGGAGACGTAACCAAAATTTTAAAGTTGATAGCCAGGCTCTGGTCCCAAGAAAATGTTATCCTGTCTCCAGGCACATGGCTGCATAGCTTACACAATTTGGCACTCCTAGGATATGCCGCAAAAACATTGCCTGGGTCTGCTCAACATATTAAAGGAGCAGTGGGATCCCATACAGAATTTGGGACACAACCTTGGCGTTAAAAGAGTCGTACAGCAGCGGGGAAAAATTGGTTGCCCTTCGTGTAACAAAACCTAACAATTGTGGAGAGGCTGTCTTTGGCCAGGTTTATTGCTTGTTTCCTCTGGCCTGTCCAGCTGTTGTTATACTGGAAGAGAACACCCAGGTGTGCTGTCTTGCCATACTGCATAGATATGTTTCAACTGTATATTTAACTGTATATTTAACTGTTGTACACCGCCCTGAGCCCATTGGGGAGGGCGGTATATAAATCTAATAAAATAAATAAATAGATATATTTTCCCCATCGTAAACATTTTGGCATCCTTCCTCCTGCCTCAAATTGCCAAAAAGCAGCAGGATATTTTTACAGACAGACATTTTCAAGGTACTCTATCAGTTCATTTGGACTTATAGTGAGAGTAATATTTGGGGCAAAAATCACTCAGGTTCTTGAAAATATTTCATCTGTAATTTGATGGTACAACAATAATGTTCACTGCAGAACAGTACACAAAAGTTTGTGACTGATGATTTCTATATGCCAAGTAGTTCTTTAATACTCTTCCATATTGATCAAACCATTTTTATTTCACTGCAAGCATTTTAAATGTTTCCATTTTTAGGTATTTTATTTTGGTAACTTTCTATATTTATCTCCTCTGAAGATGCACAATCACAAACAAATCCATCTGCTGTGGTACCACTGCTCTCCACACCCATTACAAATCACATAAGTCATCATCTGTTCATCTGCATTTGTATTTCGCACCCAACTAGGAAGGAAAAGCGCTCCCCTGGCAATCACAGTCACAGTGCAATCAAATTTTTCACATCGTCTACATTTTATTTTGTTTGTATGAGTACCATTAGTAATTTGGGGGAGCTGATGTTCACGAACAGATGATTCTGTGTAGGAAGCTCTGAGATGCTTCAGTTCATCATGTGCCATTTCCATCACAGACATATTAGCAAATGCGTTTGGATTCAGAGTCCCTTCAAACAGACCACGTCTTAAGTGAGAATTTTTAGGATTCTTTAAGTTGGAAACTTTGCTTCGAATACAGTTTTTGTATTTTTTATCATTCTTAGCATAAAGTTCAAAAATATGCTGTTCAATGTCTTTAGCTATGTTATGATGCCGGTCTGTATCTTCATTACTTGTTGAAGAGTCAATCAAAGCTTCATAAAGAAGTTTTGTACATTTATATCTCATAGCTGCCATGTGATCCTGATGAGAGTTTATTTCATTAACAGGCCCAGAGTGCTCCAGAAGCATAGGCTGAATCATATAATCCTTCTGCACAGTAATTTCTGTATCTTTGGAGTGGCTTTCTGATGGCAAGCAACTAGCGGAACTGGTGGTGCTTAATATTTCATTTTGAGTTAGTTTTTCAGAAGAGTTTGCATCTTTCAGAATCACTAGAAAGTGATCAGAACTCTCTTTTCCATTATCTGACAACACTGGCTTAACTTGTTCTGATTGACAAAGATGATTCTTGTAAAGTGTTTTCCACTTTGAAAGTAAATGCTTTGCCTTATTTTTCAGTACCACAGAGGGGCAGTTCTTGAGGATTCTGTACACAGCTTTGGCAATGTCAGTCTCCTGGAGGCAGTCCACAGTCATATCAGCAGCTTCAAGGTAAACAAGATGACTGCTAATATTTTGGTAATTTTTTTCAGATAGCAGTTTCTCTATACAATCAGCTTTACTTGCAATAATTGTCTTGTTAGACATTTCAAATCCTGAAATGAAAGTAGCATATTTTTTCTACAGTCACTATAATTTTGTATTAAGGTAAACAAGTATACAGCAGAAGTTAAGATTTTTTAAAAAATCAGATAATGAAGTTTCCTAAGGTATAACTGTTTTGTTAAAAAGAATAGTTATTGCAGTACTGTATGTCTTCTAATGCTTAATGCTTTCAGGGCACATTTGTAAAACTACTGAACACCATGGGCTTACTTTTAAGGAAATCTGTAGGTTACCATTAAACAAGTGCAAGCTGGGGACCTGCAAAACTCAGAGGGTAGGGAAATCCCACCTTCCACACTGCCCCCTCTTCTCTTACTAGCCCCCACTAGCTCCCTCCCTCCTTTGTCTCCCTCTCCTTGCTGCTGCTTTCTTCCAAGCTGCAATCAGGGTGGACTTGCCTAGGCTTAAGCTCTACCGCTTCAGTTGCCAGGCAATCCCACAGTGCAAACTGTGATCTCACAATATTTTAGTCAATGTCCTCTATTTGGAGGGCTACTCCTTGAATGGGAGGGAAAGTGGCATGGTACAGCCCATTCTTGTAAGATCTTATAAGCTAAGCAGTGGAAGGCTCCGCAGATGGAAGGCACTGGCAAACCACCTTTGCTTCTCATGTGGCTTGAGAGCCCTTTGCTGGGGCATTCATAAGTCAGTTGCTATTTGACAGCGCTTCTGTATGTAGCCTTCCAATTCTTTTTATTAAGTTTGGGGGAGGTTGGTTTGCAGAACCCCCCCCCCCCAAAAAAAAATCTGGACATGGACCCACAGTGTAGACTTTTTGATCCACATTTCAGGGCCATGTTCAGGGCCATGTTCAGAATTAGATATATTTATATAATTTTCCCCTGTGATATCATTGAAGTATAACCAAGAACGGGATACCATGGTAGCTGTTTTAGCAGCTGTAGAAAATTGTAGTGCCAATCAAGGAAAGCTCCTCTCATAGGAGAATGAAAATATGAAAACGGGTGTCCTTCTGCTAAAAGGAATACAGGAGTGTGTGGTTTGATATCAGAGGGATAACAACAAAGAGTATTCTTTGGATTCAGTGATTCTCAATATGATGAATCCAATTTATTTATTTAATTCATTTCTCACCAATGGAGACCCAAGGCAGTAGGAATTCAAACCTGGGAAATCCAATCCTGAGGTTCCTGCTACTATTCGATGTAATTCAGAAACCACTGTTGGCATTATATTGAGCTTTACAAAGCTGTTCACTAAAGCAATCGCTGTACTCTGCTGCTTCAGACCAACACTGCTACCCTACCTGAACCGAGTCTCATGCGTAAATTTTCCCGGTCACCAGTGGGGTGGGAATGGGATAGAGGCGCAGAAGAGCACGGCGACGAGAAAACATGGGTTTTGTGCAGGACAACAAAACCCCAATTGCGACTTCCACTCTCGCCGCAACACCACGCAAGGCAAACCCACCGGGGGGGGGGGGGGGGGGGGAAGCAAAGAAAGGCTGCCCCGGAAATAGCGGCTGGCTAGCACGGGATGGCCGCCAAGGCAGAGCCAAGCACCCGTATGGAAGAATGCCAGTCAAAGTCGGCCGGTGGCCGCTTTTTCTTTTTTGCTCACCTCATCCATGCAAAGGCCCAAATTTCGTTCACTCTCCTCCCCGCCCCTTCAGAAGAAAAAGGCCCGAAGTTGCCCGCGCCCGCCTCTTCGACGACGAGCGATGCGCAGGCGCTTGAGTTCCAGCAGCGGTATTGACAGGGAGGCTGCGCGTGAGAAAGAGGCCGAGGCACGAGCGGTGGTCTCCGTTTCCGCTCCTTCCGCCAGAAGGTGTTTCTTTCCTTCAGTGCAGAGGTTGCGCGTGATTTGTTGAGAGCGGAGCCGGGACTCAGGTTCCCCGTAAGGTGTGCGTGCACGCGAAAGCTCATGCCTTGAATAAACCTTTCTTGGTCTTAAAGGTGCCAAGTGGACTCTAAATTTGTTGCCACCCTCGGGGTCTGGGTAAAAGTCGGATCTAAATG